AAAAAAAATCCACATAATCATCTTTTACATGATGGATTTTTCACCTAATATTGAAAATGTAAAATAGTCAATCACTTAGCGAAAAAATTAGTTACATCAACATTTAATTGACGGAAAGACGAAATTGAAAATTGAAATTGAATGACGTTTTTGGTATTTTTTGAAATTCAAGGATGAATTGGTTAAAAATAAAAGTTGAGGGACCAATTCAAATATTTAACCTAAAAAAATATGTTAGTAACGTCAGCATCACCATTCAATTAATCCTTAAATAAAAAAAGTTGAAAATTGACATCCTTAAATAAAAAAAAAATTGAAAGTTGACGTCCTTATTTAGAAACTGTCAAAATTAACATCCTTAAATAAAAAAAAATACAAAACTGGAATCCTTATTTGCAACTTTACTCCTGTTTTAACCGAAAACCGGACGGGACAGAGAACACACGTCCAAATTTTATACGCAACCAGTGGCTCTGCGACGGCAAGTTGCTTTCTACTTTCTTGAATATGGAGTTGACACATGTCATCTCCTTGCGTGGGCAGTTTAACTTGGACACTGCCTTTTCCTCGAATTATTGGCTCACCATTTTTTGTTTTCTGCGTCTTCTCTGATCACCAAAAGTCTAAATGAGTATGGACTAAAGAGGAGACCATACCGTTCCCTAAAAACCTCTCCTTTGACAAAAGCACATTACGGGGTTGGTGAAATAAGTACATCTTAATTCTTCTCTCGAGGTGGGTTTTCTTCTAGAGCCCTGAAGTCGGTGTGGGTAACGAGTCGGTGTGGGTAACGCTTCTTTGGATGAACTGGAACAGGTATGTTTTGACGTGATGAGTGTTATTTGGAGGTTTTCAAAGATGAAATTCACGTGGGAAGAACTAGCTGTGTGTTGTTTTATTTTGATGGGTGTGTAGTGTGAAAGGTGAAAAGTGTACGGAGTAGGTATGTTTTGATTTGATGGGTGTAATTTGGTGGTTTTCAAAGATGAAATTCATGGGGGATGAAACAGCTGGTGTTGTTTTACTTTGATGGGTGTTATGTTATGGAGTGTCAAAGGTGAAAAGTGTTCCCCTTTTGTGTGTCGGAAAATTTCTTTGCAAAATCTTCCCAGTGTGAATAGACTCACTTTTTTCTTCCCGGGTCTTGAATTTGGTCGGTGGCTAGGTTGTGTTATTTTCTTGGGGTTTTAGTAGTAATTCTGCTGAAGTTTCTTAAGAACAATTTTCTAGCCGTGTTGCAATGTAAGCAATGTCGCTTTCTGTTTGGACTATGAACGTGAGTCTTCATGTGATTGGTTGCTCTTGAGGTTTCAAAGAAATCATTGATCTTGGAGCAAAGGAGACTTCTTGAGTTTTAGAGTCGAAGTCACAGGAGTGATGCACGCGTTAGTCTGAGAATTCTGAGCTAGACAAAATATTCCGTTGTTATGTTATATAACTCTAGTTTATTTTTTTTCCAAGGTGCTCAAGGAAATACATTTATATGTTAAAAAATGAAGGGTGCAAAGTTCAATCTGTGAGATTTTAGTTATATTTCATCATGGAACCATTGGCTTGATTGATTTTGCATCCTGTGGACAACCCTGTAAACTTCCTTCCTAAGATGATGACTCAAGACGATGATCCATATCCAGCTGGGGAAAAGAAAAGAACTCCCATTCGCATTTTCTTTAAGGATGCCAGGTATGATTCCAAAATTCCACTTTGCATATGGTTTACGGGTATTTCGTGTACATCTTGGTGTCTCTGCATGTTGTGTGAGCCAAGATTTTTATGTTTGCATTAACCCTCTATTTCATTTGCGTCCCTTTGTTTTCTAGTACTTTATTTAAACAAAATAGACATCATTTCCTCATAAATCTTGAAAAAGAATATTAAACATGCATTCTAATTTTATTAATGGGTATTCCTTTCCTTTTGCCAAGGGTTGATTTGATAAAAAAATGTTATTGTTTGGTTAGAATTAACAGATTATGTATGTTTTGATATTCTATGACTATGATATGAGCAGGAATGTCTTTAAATTGGATGAACTTGGACTGGAGATAGCACAAATTGCATTGCCGGCAGCCCTGGCTTTAGCAGCTGACCCAATTGCTTCTCTGGTCGACACAGCATTTATTGGCCAAATAGGTACATCTCTGTGATTTTTGTTCCTTGTGGTTGTGTGCCTTATTGAGGTGGCTGGAAACTTATCTGATATCTCTGAATGTTAATTGGTTTGGCTATCTTGTCCTACAGGCTCAGTTGAACTTGCTGCTGTAGGTGTTTCTATTGCTCTGTTCAATCAAGTATCCAGAATTGCAATATTCCCTCTTGTCAGTGTCACAACCTCTTTTGTGGCTGAGGAAGATACCATTGGGAGAGGGAGTGCTGAGATCCGAGAAATTGAATACTTAGAAACTGGTTCATGTTTAAACGGTGAAAATAAGGAGTTAATACCACAGAATGGTGTGCCATCCATTCCCCTATCTTTCATTACTTCACAATATCTTTTCTTTGTTTTTAACATCTTAAGATATTGGAGTTCCCTTGTTCTATTCTACCAGATTCTTGTGAGATTTCATGCAAGTCAAAATCATTCCATAGTAGCTTTGACATTGCCAAAATAGAGAATCAAAGAAGGCATATCCCATCAGCTTCATCAGCACTGGTTATTGGTGGCATCCTTGGTCTAGTCCAGGCTGTTTTCCTCATATCTGCAGCAAAACCTTTATTAAACTTCATGGGAGTCAGCTCTGTAAGTGCCTTACATTGATAGAACAAACCTCTATTAAGTAGATTCTTAGCCATACCTTCTTTTTTTTTTTTTTTTGTGTGTGTGTTTTGTAGTCATTTTCATGTATTTGGTTTGATTTTAGTTTCTACTTGCTACAGGATTCTTCCATGCTAACTCCTGCACAACAGTACTTGACATTAAGGTCACTTGGGGCTCCTGCAGTTCTTCTCTCATTGGCAATGCAAGGAGTCTTTCGTGGATTTAAAGATACAAAAACTCCTCTATATGCCACTGGTATGCCTATAGAAGGCAGTTTAATCAGCTTATAATCTAATCTTCTTCACCACATCAAGAAAAGGGAACTTCTTTTGCTCTTTTATAGATAATTGATGATTTCACCTTCTGCTAATCCATTTCTTTCTGTTACAATTCAGTGGCTGGAGATGTAACAAACATAATTTTAGACCCAATTTTTATGTTCATTTTCCGTCTAGGCGTCGGTGGTGCTGCCATTGCACATGTCATATCTCAGTAAGTTACATGCAGTCACTATCTGTGCATGTTGCATAGGTTTATTGGACAATAATTTGTTTCTTTAGCATGCTATGAACATCACTATATAACATTTCCTGTCTAACTTTGTCTTGCCTTTTTGCACTTGTTTGTTGATTTTAGGTATCTTATTGCAGTTATACTTCTGTGGAGATTGATGGGTCAAGTTGATCTTTTACCTCCTAGTATCAAACATCTACAGTTTGGTAGATTTCTTAAAAATGGTAACGTTAATTGCACATCAACTTGTGCTCACTATTTACCTTTTCTAGTTTAGTAATTATTTTTCTTCTCCTTGAACCTCAGGTTTTTTGTTACTAATAAGGGTAATGGCCGTTACACTCTGCATCACCCTTTCTGCCTCACTGGCTGCAAGGCAGGGATCGACAGCCATGGCTGCATTTCAGGTCTGCTTGCAGGTTTGGTTGACAACATCTCTTCTCGCCGATGGGTTAGCTGTTGCTGGCCAGGTTAGAACCATTTCCTTAATTTCCAAATCCTTATTTGACCAAAGGACTAAAAAGGTCTCTGTCTTTTATGTAATGAACTGCTCAAATGGGTTTTCAAGTGTGTCAAATTGCCCAGCTTTTTATGAATGCAATATTTTAAAGTATGTCAAATGTTTTCATACTAAATTTTATCAATCTTTCAGGCAATACTAGCTGGTGCATTTGCAAGAAAAGACTATGACAAGGCAACAGCCACTGCATCTCGAGTTCTGCAGGTTGAGACGTATCATATGCCACAAATATTAAATGACTTCCCACAAATATATTAGTATCTCATAATATCAATTATATATCTATTTTGCAGTTAGGATTAGCTTTGGGGTTGTTGCTCACAATCCTAGTTGGAGTAGGGTTGAATTTTGGAGCCAAATTATTCTCAAAAGATGCCAGTGTCCTCCACCTTATTGCCACAGGCATTCCAGTATGTCACCTTTTTATACACGAGGAGTTTTAAGTTTTAAACCTCCCAGCCTATTCACATCCCAAAATATCTCTGAAAGTAATATTCATTTCCCACTGTTTCTTCAGTTTGTTGCAGGCACCCAACCCCTCAATGCCTTGGCATTTGTTTTTGATGGTGTCAATTTTGGAGCATCTGATTTCGCATATTCTGCCTTCTCCTTGGCAAGTCCATTATTCATTTCCTTATGACTTACTTATGATATAACTTAACCCAAATAATGCATTTTGTTATTGGCAACGTGTTTTCTGTACACACAACCTTTCTCGGTCTATATGTTCATGAAGCAGTAGGAGGAAACAGGAAATTTCCCACTTTTCTATTTTAGCAGAAGAACTAACATACTAAACTTGGCCAGGTTCTGGTTGCTATTGTCAGCATCATATGTTTGCATTTCCTCTCCTCCAGTCTCGGGTTCATCGGGCTCTGGATTGCTCTGACCATATACATGAGTCTTAGAGCATTTGCTGGCTTCTGGAGGTAATCCCACTACCATTGCTATTTTTTACTTCCTTCTTCTCTAAAGATATATTTTAGTTAGAGAAGCATTCATTCACATTTAGAACAATCCTGAAGTCATCATCAATCAGGGAAAATGGAATATTTCTTGTTACATATAGCATATATCCCATTCTCTCCATGCCCTTAACTCATTAAGCATATATACATATAAGAATTTTCTTGTTCAATGTTTGCAGGATAGGGACGGGAACAGGGCCCTGGGGATTTCTCAGGAGATGATGAATTTATTTCCAAGGAAACAATTTTGGCAGTGGACAGCCATTTTTACTCCATTCTGTCAACTGTCATTTCTTTGCATGGAAATTGGAAGATACATGTAGATATGAAAAGTAAAAAACATAGGCGAACTCTCATTCACCTCTGAGAGCAATGCCAAGGATAATCATGATAAAAGTGTAGAATCTGTATTACAGTTTCAGGGTCCAGAGTCTTGGGGGATGCATCCCTAGTAATTTATTTCCTTGAATGCACTAGGTAAAGGTGCACTCAAAAACTATTCTGTGCACAAGTAGGGCCAAGAGGACGCAACAAAAACAAAATTTACAGTTTAGGGAATGTTGTAGTTGTATGATGTGTGGCTGTGCTCATCATGCACCAATAAACCAATTACCTGAAATTTCTTGTTGGGGTGGCATTTCTCCAGGGACAACAATGATAAGTTACGGATATGTACACTTTCTTATGAAATATGAATTACAAAGTATTACTTTTTTCTCTTTTTTTTTTTTTTTTTTTTTTTTTTTTTTTTTTTTTTTTTTTTTTTTTTTTTTTTTTCCTTTGAACGAGTGTAATTAGGAGAAAGGGAGATAGGGGCAGTTAATGCAGCTATTAAAATTTTAATATTTAACAAGAATTTA